AGGAAGAGGTAAGGGCAGCAGTGAAACACGAATCTAGAAGAGCGATATTGCCGAATGTCGATAAAAGAATGTGGAGATTTGTAGCCACAGATAATCCTCTTATGTTGCCAAGTGTCGTTGACGCAGCTCTGAGATAGCGTAACAGTTTCTTGAGACAACAAGTAGGCCAGTCAAGATACCCCAGCAATATAGTCGCCACAAGAGCGTGGGTCGGGGCTGTCACAGATTTTCAGTTCAGATAACTATAATATAACCATTATTCACACAGGAAAAACTTGGGACCTTAAATCACCAACGTCGCCTCTATGTGTCTTAAAGAGGAAAAAAAAAACAACAACCCCAGAAAGACGTAGCACTTCGTGTTGCTCAATGATCAAATAGTATCTCCATTTGGGTTTATCTGAGCCAAAGCTTCAACTACAAATTAGTTTCTGCGCTTTATTACGTAATCAGTCACCTTTTCTTCGGCAACGACGAATTCACTTTTGTGAAGTTCGTATTAAAAGAAAGCTGACCGATATTTTTGTCTCCTTCTCTTACGCACGAAGCGACTGTAATAGATTATAACGGTATTGAATAGCCTTGTTTGTCAACCAATGAGCGTGACTCGTGGGTGCTTTGCATCGACAACAACGCCGGTCTTTATTGTTTTCAAGGCAACACTAGTCCACAATTCTTTTGTAACCGACTTTTGATTCTTTTTAAAATTTCGTTTTCATGCCCAGTAAATTGATGATATAATTATTTCAAATGATGTATGAAAGGGAGCTATTGACTGCCTACCCACGCTATGAAGTTTACTAATGAAACACTGCTGTTGACTAAAATATAATAATATAACAATGATATCTACTTGGAAATTAATTAATTCACTTTTGCGAAGTTCGAATTATTAAAATTCTTACCAACGCTTCTGTTTCTTCCTGTCACACACGAAACGACCAGAGTAGGAGGTATCGAGTTTCGTTACAACATAACGACGTCTTGTCATGTTCTCTAAATGTGGAATGTTGTGTTTAATACTGCAGCATGTGAGACCCCACCCCTTTATGCTTGTGGCCCACCAAATACACAATGCTGATTTTGTGTCTACGTTTACATAGTTTGGAGCGTCAGTGGTTTCGTAGGGGCAAGTTAATTAAGTAACTGTGGTCACTGCAAAGGGGAACGGAAGCATGCACATGACATATGCACGAACCGAGGTGCTTAACTTTCAGATTGTACACTATTACGTAACTCAAATTATAGCATTCAAGCTTTACTGTCAAGCTCCCAGACCAGCATTGCCACTTGTTACAGTGGAAAAGTGTGATATCCTCTGAAGGCGTGAGAAAGTCGTCTTGCACTACGGCATATTGATTCTGTTTGACAACTCGGTCACGGCCGAGTCGTCACAGATCTCTGGCAAGTGAATGATTACTGCCGGTCCTTCTTACTTTAAATCATGGTTGACTTGAAATTTGGGATAACAATAAGCGTGTGAGCCTAGCTTCTTTGGTCGGACGAGAACGACAAAGAATTGCACTCGGAATGTATCCAAACTGTCGTCAGCAGACAGCTTTGTATCAGTTTCCCCTCTTGAAATATAGATAAATGGTGTCTCAGTTTGCTTCTACTCTTGAACATGTCAAGCCAAGGTTTAGAAATATGATTAAGCGGCATAAAGACAGAACGGCACTTTTTCTTATATAAATGTCATTAGATTTCATAGTCCCCTTTGTTGCATGCGCCCTGACAGAGAAGTATGACTGAAGTTATGGCCGTGTTGTACTTTCTTTTAACGCCGGAACTCGTATTTTTATCACTTCCTTAACTCTGGTAGCACCTTGCTTACTCTAACAATATTTTTAGTTTCTTAAAGAAGACCGGCGCCATTAGAACATACCTATAACTCTAGTACCTTAAAAGCCCTCTCTGTTCGGATATTTAAAGCAGAAAATGAGAGAACTCACTATATCAAAAGTCTTGTTATTCCCTCACCTGAATCGCGAGGAACATTTATTTATGTCTGAGGGACGAAACAAATAAGTGTTCACCAATACTCTATTGAAAACGTCCAATGAAAACGAAGAAGGATGGGGATGGATGAGGAGTAGGGGAGGGACTTGCTGAGAAAGCTGGTTTTGTTGGACCTGTAGACTACATTCGCAATCACTACTCAAACCCTTGACCAGAAGCAAACATAAAGGCGATGACAAACAGACATGCCCACTTCAATGGTAAGACAAAATATTTCTAACATCCACTCTTCAACCACAGTAAATTGCAGTGAAATGTTCAATGCACTGACTATCAGACGCATGCATACAGACACACAGAGAGAGAGAGAGAGAGAGAGAGAGAGAGAG